GGACTGTGTTGAGTATAGTCATGATGACCTGGAACTCACTCTATAGATCAGAGATCTGCCCGTCTCTGCCTCCTGAGTGCTGGGATCAGAGACATGCACACCATCATGCCTGGCTGGAAACATCTTTTAGTTCATCGCAGATATCAAGTGCTGGATAAATACACTAATGGTATGAGAAGCAACAGATTAGTATATCTGTCTTCTGAAGGCCTCTCCACCCCTTAGTAGCTGAGCTCAGCCGTAGTAGGGTTTTGATAGGGTTCACTGCCATAGCCTCGCAATTAGAACTCTGCTGACCACAGAGGTGGGGAACAGGGAATAATAAATCAATGCAGAGTTATAACCCAACAAGTCACATTGAGGAGGGAGCACACCGCTTTAGGGAGCACGGAGCTTTAGGGAGGACAAAGCTCTTAAGCAGTGTTGTGCAGTTTCGGGATCTTACGATTTGATGGCCTCCAGTTTTGAACACTTGGCTTTGCTAGGTGATTGCCTTGGGCAAGTTACTTTACTCTCTTCAGTTCCACACCCTTCATCTTTGAAATGAAGTAATACTACCTACAGCAAAGAGAAGAAGAAGTGTGGTTATTAATCCGATGATGTTCGGGACTCTGACGATATCTGTCTCCCACTCACATCTCTAGCCCGGTCGCACTGCTTGGGTTTCTTTAGTTGAGATACTAGGTTAGGAAAGGAAAGTGTGGGGACATGAGAGGATAGTATGTGGCAAGCACGAGCAAGGCACAGTGATACAGATGTATATTCTATCATAATAGAACCCGTTATTCTAAACCAGTTAATAAAAAAGGACAAATAACTATCCTTGCTCCCCAATGGGTTCTAAGCCACTCTTGATGTTGTAGGATGCTTACTGTTTTGTTTTTACATGTGCTAATTCACTTTCTGTCTGAAAAGGGAAAATATACTTAAAATAGATACCTAATCCTGAAAAATTGACTATGGATAATATGGGGCGTTAATCGCTGCTTTGCCAATAGGATAATATTTTTTTTCTGTTTTTTTTTATTGGTTATTTTATTTATTTTCATTCCAAATGTTGTCTCCCTTCCTGGTTTCCCGTCTGCAATCCTCTTTCCCACCCCTCCCCGTCTCTATGAGGGTGCTCTCCTACACACTCCCCCACTCCCACCTCACCGCCCTAGCATTCTTCTACACTGAGGCATCGAGCCTCCACAGGACCAAGGGCCTCTCCTCCTATTGATGTCTGACAAGACCATCCTCTGCTACATATGTGGCTGGAGCCATGGGTCTCTCCATGTGTACTCTTTGGTTTGTGGTTTAGTCCCTGGGAACTCTGGGTGGTCAGGTTAGTTGACAGATAATACAATTTTAATAGGATAATATTGGGTTAAGTGAAAAGTTGGGAGAGGACTTTCTTAACTTACTTCGCTTCCCTGAGACATTTGGTAAAACCTATAAAGTTTGGAGGTGTGCAGACTGGATGAACTGGGAAATGCTGCTTAAGAATGGCTTCGCTGGGGGCTGGAGAGATGGAGTAGCGGTTAAGAGCACTGCTTGCTTTTCCAATAGGTCCTGAGTTCAATTCCCAGCAACCACATTTGTGGCTCACAGCCATCTGTAATGGGATCTGATGCCCTCTTCTGATGCGTCTGATGACAGTGACAGTGTACTCACATATATATAAAAAAAATTAAAAAAAGAACATTTTTTGTTGCATTTCTGCTTTGAATGGTTTAATGTGATATCGCTCAAAGGCTCAGTGTGTTGGTGGGAATGTCCACTTTCATGTTCTCAGTGGTTATCAGGAGCTCTGGGTCAATGCAGGACACTGCCAGGCAAGCGTCTGTGACAGACTGTCACAGACCAGACGGGAGTCTTCTCACAGGAAGAAATGCTGAGTCTTTTTTACTTTCCCTTGATTTTTCTTGTCATGTCTAGAGAGGAATAGGCTAGCACATATTTTATTTCTCACCTAAAGAAGGACAAATGAACTGTGGACCTGTGATACTGGTTTATTTGTGTCTTGATTCCATGCTTTAGAACCAGGCCATAGGCTGGCCTTCCCCAATGTCATTTCTCATTCACCTTTCTCCTTACTTGAGCCTACGATGGGGTGCAGCTGTGTGTGTTATCGAGGCTGGCACTGCCTAAGGGGAAATTAGGAAGCTGTCCAGGCGACCTGATTTATGAGGCATTGAAAGGCACATCTGACCAAAAATATCTCCCGCACTGGCCTGCCACCAGTACCTGAGATCCCCGATTAGAACTGCCCATTAAAAGCTTTTCTGTAGACTTACACGGTTTCCTTGGGCCCACAAAGCGTTATCTGAGGGAGACTTTGGAAAGTAGGGAAATGGGAAAGTGTTTCACGAGGATGACTTTCTTTATCTGAGTCTGTTAATCTCTTAACATCCTGACAGGCCAGTGGCACATTAGTTCAAGACCAGAAGGAACCTTAACGGAACTCTGGGCAATAGGAACCAGAAGGCAACTAGAAACAAGATGGCGAAAGTGAAGCCACTGGAGACAAGATGCGAATTGAGGAGTTAAGGTGTTGAAAACAGACAGGCAGGTACTTCACAGTCACATTCATATTCATGACGCTTACAAGGTATGGCCATACTAAATGTACTTGGAGAGACATTCTTTGAATTTAACTTTTCACCACACTTCGATTCTTAGTCAACTAGTTCACTGTGCTACAGCCAGGCTGATGACTCTGTTATTCACAAAGAGACATCTGTGACAAAGGCCAAGTAGATTTATGGCCAGACGAAGATATATTTGCAGAGTCAAGCTAATGAATCATTGTATGACTTTGTGAATGCTATTCCAGAGAAGAGTCTAATGGCCAGGTTTCTCAGTCCTGTCCAGATGCCACCTACATCTGAGTCACTAATGGCACCTATTAAAATGTTCCTCATAGCTGGGCTGGGTGGTACACGCCTTCAGACCCAGCACTTGAGAGACGGGAGCAGGAGGATGAGAAGTTCAAGGCCACCCTCAGTCACATGTAGTAAACTTGAAGTCAGTCTAGGCTATGGGCTATTCTATATCAAAAAGCAAAACAACAACAACACAACAACAACAACAAAAGAAAGAAAGAAAGAAAGAAAGAAAGAAAGAAAGAAGGAAAGGAGGAAAGAAAGTGTTAAACCCCGCTCCCCACCTAGACCTCTGTAAAGGCCCCAGAGGGGTGTGTTGGGGACACTGTATTAAGAAGCCATGTCTGCTGAATTTTACACAAACTACCATCAGAGCATAGAGGCAATTTATATAAATTCCCAAGGCACATACATCAGGCATCAAAGTCTAGCCTTGCTACTTTTTATTCATTCTGTGCTTTGGTTAAGTTAGTTATTGGACCTCGCTGGCTCTTAGGTTCAGCCTAATAATATTAGCAACCTAACAAAGTTATAACTGTGTGTGGCCAGAGGAGCAAAACCATGTAGAGTTTAGTGTAGCATCTGGCGTATGATGACGGCAAAGGAGACAGCCGTTGCTATGATTGCCATGTAAAAAGGCTTTCAGGCAATGGCTACTGACTATAAGGATATAATACAAATGACTATACATGACTTTTGTTGACTGGGTACTCTGTAAATGATAAGCTGAAAATCCCATCTCAGTACATTGTAAAATCAAGTTGGCTTTTTAATTTTTCTTTTCTTTTTTTTTTTTTAAAGGATTTATTTATTTTATGTGAGTGTGTACACTGTCACTGTCTTCAGACACACCAGAAAAGGGCATCAGATCCCATTACAGATGGTTGTGAGCCACCATGTGGTTGCTGGGAATTGAACTCAGGATCTCTGGAAGAGCAGGCGGTGCTCTTAACCGCTGAGCCATCTCTGCAGCCTGGGCTTGCTCATTTTCTCACTGCCGTTTTCTAATGCTTCTGTGGCATTTTATCCCGCGTAGTGGTACCAACTCCTCAAATACAACCAGCAAGAGAAGTATTAGATAGAAATATTTAATGAGGCCGGGCGGTGGTGGAGCGCGCCTTTAATCCCAGCACTTGGGAGGCAGAGGCAGGCGGATTTCTGAGTTTGAGAGTTCGAGGCTAGCCTGGTCTACAGAGTGAGTTCCAGGACAGCCAGGGCTACACAGAGAAACCCTGTCTCGAAAAAAAAAAAGAAATATTTAATGATAAATATGCACATATTATCATTATATACACATATTTATGGATGTGTAGCTGTGAAGGAGATAGTTGGCTGAATGTACTCTGAAATATTTTGCCCACGCTTACTACTGGGACGAGCCTCCTGGTTCCCCGTCCTCCTTCCTCCTTTGTCTCCTGCCTCTTCCTACCCATCCGCGGGTGACAAAGCACTTACATTCTTCAGTCCTCCCCAGCCCTGTCTCACTGTGGTTACTGCCTTCTCATTCATCTTGCGAGCAGACTTTGCCCACGCAGCACACGTCACAGCAGAGAGAACTGATTCGACACGCTGCTGAGTCTCACAGTAGTGTGGTCAGGGTCATTACTGACAAAGGCAAGAGCAGCTTTTCTGCCCAGATGAACCTTACAAAGCAAGGCCAAGGGGAAAGGGTGGAGGTCAAACGGAGGCTCCTACTATTTTGACTTAGTATAAATCGTGGCTGGCAGTGTCGTTACTAGGACAATGACAGTAGAAAATCATGTAGTCACTGAATACAATAGAGGAATACACTGGAGCCTGGAGAAGGGAAATGAGAAAAATGTAGCTACTTCTCTAAACCATGATCCAAGAGAAAGGACTGCGAAGAAAATGTCATCATTAGCATTGGTTGCTATGGATACCTTCCCGCAGATACCTTCTGACTCCAGAATCCCATTAAAGCTTGAGATGTGTGTGTTGTGAATTAGAACCTGGGTTCAGATCCAGGCTTCACACAGTTCAGTTTCTCTGTGCCTCAGTTTTCTCACCTCGGAAATGGACACAGCAGTAGTGCACATATCAGGAGTGTTTAGGAGAACAAAACAAAAGCAATACCTAGATTAGATAGCACTTAGGAAAAAAATACTTCGTTTGTAGAGTTAAATTACAATGTAATTATTTTAGTATTGAGTATGTAAGCGGTGGGGTACATGCACACGTTGGGAGATCAGCCGGCAATGTGGACTCAGTTCTTGCTTTCCACCTTTGTATGGGTTCTGGGGATCAAAAGTTAATGGTCAGGCCTTTGCAGAGGGCAAGTGCCTTCGCCTGTAGCCCTGGCTGGGCTCGAACTCACAGAGATCCTCCTGCTTCTGCCTCCCACATGCTGGGATAAAACAGGTGCATCCCCACAATGAGCTGGAGTCACCAGGTTGTATTCTCCACTCCTGGTAGCACCCAGGAGTTCTGAGCAGATCGCTGCGCTGAGGCTGTGAAAATTTTGCTAGAAGAAGTTGCTTTTTTTTCCCCCTGGCAAGCAAGATTCCTTATCTGGCTGCCATTTCCTCCTGTTCTGAAAAAAAAAAAAAAAAAAAAAAAAAGGAAAGAAAGAAATGCTGTGACTTATCAAATCCAGGGCCACTCAGGTGTTGTAAGCAACTGTCCTACTGTGGCACTGTATCCCTTGCCCTGACTGCAATGAGCAGTCTCACATTTTAGAAGTAAGTGTTTGATCCAGTGCGTATTTCTGTTTTTTTTTCTCTCTCTGTCTCTGCATTTTTAATTATTCAGCATGTGTGAGTACTAGAAACCTGAGCATTTATCATTTGAAAGATTATAGGTGTCAAGCATAGTCATTCACGTTTGAATAGTACAGAAACATTTACACGTCTTGGCTGCGATGCAGGCGGAGCATCGTGCTTGAGAAAGTACATCCAGACACATCCTTCTCCAAGAGAACGATTAAAAACAAGCAATCGGTCATGCGAGGCACACTCCTTCCCCTCCGTCCCATTCTTATCATACCGATCTCCCCTTGCAAAATTGAAGCTGCCCATAAATATTTTCCTTCCAAACTGTGGGAAATAAGTTGTAACGCTGGCTCTCTGAGAAGGTTACGTTAGAAGACGGCTTATCATCTAAACAATGACTACAAAAGCGGTGTGGTCCCGGGACCTCTCGCAAGAGGCCAACGGGTGCTCACCCTTATTCTCCGGCATTCCAGGGGAGAGGCCAAGGGACGGCCACCAGGAGACATTTTCAAGGGCTCTTTTTCCCACCCTTCAGAGTACCATCTCCGACCGTTTTAGAAAAGGATTTGTTTTGCAAGAACGTAAAGTGTCCCAAAGAACTGTTTACCCATACTAGGACTTGCTGTTTGCTTAATACTGCCAGATGGACGGCGCCTCTTGACTCACGGCCACATCCCCACAGATTTGACCTCATTTCATGGACACTATTAAAAGATTATTCTATTATTGAGACTTTCCATTGCATCAAATACTAAACACGAGCAACATTCCTCTTCAGGGAAAATGATGTCAGGAGAGGGCACAGACTGTGTTGACCCCAGGCACATCACGAGGATAGGTATGTGGAGATTGCTTAATGGTTGGCTGACTAATTAAGCCCAGCGGTACAGGCAAGAAAGCTCTAGGGGCGTAAACTTTCCCTAGCGGCTCCTGAAGGATGTGCTTGGGTTCATATGCTGCCATAGATGGAAGTTTTATTGGACTCTGTTGACTTGGTATCCAGGTGGTTATTTTGTAAAATGCTCAGAAGAGAACATACATATAGAACCAGGGCAGTGCTAGGGGGATGGGATGTTCCGGGGAACAAAACAAGAGTTCTTTCCCCTTTTCTTCTCCTAGACTGTCCTCTCCTGACTTCACCACCCCTCACTTTGGACCAAAGGATGCTCGGAGGATGTTGGATGCGGCAGAAGAGAGACCGTAAATAATTTCAGAATCAAGATACTAAGAAATTCTCCCCCCTCCCTTTTCCCTTTTCCCTCTTGCTCTGGTCCTGCTCGATCCAGCCCAAAAGTTTATTTATTTATTATATGTACACTGTAGCTGTCTTTAGACACTCCATAGGAAGGCATCAGATCTCATTACAGATGGTTGGTTGTGAGCCACCATGTGGTTGCTGGGATTTGAACTCAAGACCTCTGGAAGAGCAGTCAGTGCTCTTAACCGGTGAGCCATTTCACCAGCCCCTAAGAAATTCTTATATTAAAGATTTCTTCTTAAAATTAATTTGCTTTTATTTTATGTGCATCAGTGTTTTGTCTGCATGTATGTCTGTGTGAGGGTGTCAGATACTGGAGTTACAGACAGTTAAGAGTTGATGTGTGGGTGTTGGGAATTGAACCCAGGTCCTCTGAAAGAGCAGTCAGTTCTCTTAACCACTGAGCCATCTCTCCAGCCCCTAAAGATTTCTTTTAATGTTGCAAGAAACGTGCCTTGAAGAGCAACTATAAGGAGGGAAATTAGGAGATAATCTGTATTATTCAGCTTGCTGTCGTGGCAAATACCAGAGACAAATATCTTAAACATGGAAGGGTTTTACAGTAACAGAAGTTCCAATCCATGGTCACTTGGATCTGCACTGAGGTACAACATGGCAGGAGTGTAGAAGAACAAAACACCTCATGTCATGGTCCATATGATCCACAAAGCAAAGAGGTCCCGGGAAGAATGAGCTGTATTCCTAGCATTCCCTCCAAGAATACCTCCCTTCCTGCCACCAGGCACCAGCTCCTAAAGTTCCACCAGGGTTGATGACCAAGCCTTTAGCATGTGGGCCTTAGGCCTGGGGACACTTACAGGCCAAACTGTCAACAGAAATGAAAAATATATTAAAGTTCAAACAATTAGGCAAATTAGATAAGATTAAACTTTTAGTCATGAGTTTACTTGATATACATATATATATTTAAAAACCCACCGGTGAATTTTAATTGTTGGGAAAAATGAAGGCGAATGACCAGTGAAAACAACCCAAGTGGTGTAGATGTATATGAAGGACAAACCTATGTCCCCTAGAAGGACACACATTGCTATGATCTGTCTTCCAGAAGTTTTAAGACAGTATACAATCCAATAACCATGCCCTTAGGTTGGAGGATGATTCTATGTGTTGCTCTGAAGTTTTTTTTCCCTACTTAATGTTTCTTGTTCTTGTTGTTCTTGTTGTTCTTCCTCCTCCTCCTCCTCCTCCTCCTCCTCCTCCTCCTCCTCCTCCTC